CATCATCATCATCATTATCATCATCACCATCATCACCATCACCACCATCACCATCATCACCATCATCACACCATCATCATCATCATCATCATCACCACCACCACCACCACCATCATCATCATCATCATAACCACCATCATCATCATCACCATCACCATCATCATCATCATCATCATCATCATCATCATTACTATCATCATCATCATCACCACCACCATCATCATCATCATCATCATCATCACCATCACCATCACCATCATCATCATCATCATCATCATCGTCATTATATTCATCATCATCATTATCATCATCATCATCATCATCACCATCATTATCATCGTCGTCATCATTGTCGTCATCATCGTCGTCATGATCATCATCATCATCATCACCACCACTATCACCACCACCACCACCACCGCCACCGCCAACTCCACCACCACCGCCACCGCTACCGAATGATTATAATAATAATTATAATATTAATAATATTAATAATAGTTGTAATAATAATAATTATTATTATTACTATTATTATTATTATTATTATTATTATTATTATTATTATTATTATTATTATAATAATAATAAGAATAATATAACAAAAACGGAAATGGAAGTGGTTAAAAGTAATAGAAGACGAAAGTTGTATGGATGTGGCATTCCCAGCCAGTTGGTAGTGTTGTTGTTTATTCCTGCAGTTGCCTCGAGTTCGATTCTTATTGTCCTCCTCGTTTTTTCATTTTTTTTGGCCATTTGTAGTTAATTTATGGTTTCAGGTTTCACATAAAAAATGTCCGCCTCCATTTTAGCGGGAAGATGGAAATTTTTAATCCCGCTTCCCTCTATCTCCTTTCTTCATTCGTTTTCCCTCTTTCTCTTTCACAGTTTCCTACTCGATCCTTCCACTCACACCCTCTCCTTCGATCCTCTCTTCTTCATTTTCCAGTCGTTGAAGCTTACTCCGCCGGAGTTACTCCTTTCTGCTGCCGCTGCAATGGTGTACATCGAGTTCGCTGTCGTCTGCTTGCCGAGTTTACTTCTTTCCGCCACCGTCGAAGTTCCTTCTTTCCTGCTATCGTTTCATAATTATAAGTAAAATGAAACAATTTTTTTTAATTGTCATTATGTTTAATTTATTTGTTGTACAATTGGACTGGTAGATTTGTTTGGTTATGTATTTGGTGTCATGTGGTCGTGTAAGAAGCCTTGATGATTCTTGCTTATAACAAATGGGTTCTTGTCATAAACGAAACTAAATGGAAACAAATTTACATTTTTGTGCTTTTTCATCCGAACTTTTTATGGTTTACAGATTGTAAATGAGGAACATAAAGAATGTGACATTTTGACCTAACATGAGGGAGGTATAGGCTAATTTTAGTCTATCGACTTTTCTGTTCCTATTAATTCAATTGTTATTATATTATATTATATTATTTAATACATTTAGATAATTGTAATATTAATATTCTGAAATGACAAAATGATGGATGAGTCAATTATTGTATTGATTCAACTACATGATGAAGGAGTCGATTAGTAGAAGGAAATGTGTTTACTTTTGAGCTAGTTAAATGCAAGATATACATGTTTATTATAACATCTTACTTTCATTTTGTCATACTTATAATGTTGTACTTTCGAAAATGTTCCTAATTAGGGCTATATTAAAATAATAAATGAAAGTACATTCCTATATTTGTATTTTTTTGTGATCATTGATTATGGTGTGTTGAAACAGGAACAATATGATTCAAAACTCAAATCGAAGAACACTTGTCGACTTTTATCGATTCAACTTACTAGGTAATTTGCCAAACAATCCACCAAATAATTCTCAAATTTATATATGTAAGCATTTAATTAAAAATTTGTAGTTGACACTTTTAATGTATTATTAGACACATTTAATGTATTATTAGACAATGTTCATTAGTAACTAGGCGTAACCTCGCGCGTTGCGCAAGAATGCATTTAAGTGGTTAAAATAATTATGGGAAAATATAGAAATATGTTGAAATTTACGTTTTTAGTCATGTTTTGGGCATTAACCGAATTATCAAATAACATAAAAATCCATCAACTTATATTTTGATACTATCTAATATAGTTCATATCTTATAAACTTTACTTTTACTTTTATAATATCCAATATATATTATAAGTTTTTGTATAACATTAATATAATCTACTTTTCTTATATCCAATAATATTTTTTGGATAAAATAAGAAATAAGTTGTTTTGAATGAACTATTAATAAACAATATTGAACTAATAAACTTTGTATTACACTATTTATATTACACCAAAACATTCAAGGTTTCATATATGAACATTTAAATATTAAACATTGAAATTAAGAATGAATTCATACAAAATATATCATTATACATAAATGTCATCAAGAGTTTTAAAATAAGTCGATTACTAAATATGATATTTAATTTTAATTACATATTTTGTAAGGCGTACGTTTGACTTTATGTTGCTGCGCCGATAATCATCTTCCTTAATGTGTACCTAAAAAATTTAGGTGAATAGGAATATAAAATAGATATTAGTAAGCATTAATATAAACAATTAAAAAGGGTATGTGGATCTCCTACCACCGGTTAAAGACAACATACATCCCTAGTGGTATCGATTCCTATGTGAAATAGAAGTAGTCATTCTATGTACACCTTGTTTTCTAATTACATAAACAAATATGAGTAACCAAACATAAAAATGTTATCTTTATGTAGGAAATTTTTTTTGGTTAACTAACAAATTAAATAATGTAAGCTTAAGAGTTAGGAGTTTCAAAACATTAATATTTTTATTAATCAATCAATTAAGTAACACATGTTGAAATTTTTACAATCATTATTAAAAAGCATTTGAAATATTAGATTTTAAATGAATTTTGGTTGAAGTGTTTTGACCTCTATTATATATATTATATATATATATATATATATATATATATATATATATTATATATAATATCTATATATATATATATAATAAAAAAACGAAGAAAATATAAAAACGAATTAGTATAACAAAATTAGAAATTAAAAGCTCTAATATAATAGCATATCTCCAAAAGTGGTCATAAAACCTTTAAGTTTATTTTCTTTCTGAAATTTGTAGATGATTTGTATGCATGTCTTCCCAAGAGATTGACCTTTTTATAGTAAACTTTTCACTAAATGCTAGTTAAACATAATATAAGTTGTAAAACTTTTGAGTGTTAAATCATAATTAAGAAATTTTTTGAGTTGCGTTAGTTAAAAAGGAGGTTTCAAATGAATGTGGTTTGAGAAAGTTAAAAAATAGGATTTCAAATGCATGAGATTCAAGAAAAAATGTTAGCTTTATAAGCATGTATGATGTATGATATGTATTTGTATTTGATATTTTTTAGGTTTATTAGGTTTATTGTAATGTTATTTGTTTTGTGGTTGAATTTCAATATTATTATTAGTTTAATGTAATGAGTTTTTTCAATATTTTGAACAAAAAAAAAGATTTTTTTCATAATTTTTGCTGTTTTTTTTAATTATAAATTAGAAGTAATTAGCTACGGATTACCTACGGAAAATCCGTAGGTAATGTGAGCCGTAGGAATTCCGTAGCTATATATTTCCGTAGCAATTCCGTAGCTATTTGGATCCGTAGCTATTCCGTAGCTATTTAGTTCCGTAGCAATTCTGTAGCAAATTCGTAGCTATTTATTTTCGTAGCTATTCCGTAGCTATTTGGATCCGTAGCTATTCCGTAGCCATTTAGTTCGGTAGCTATTCCATAGCTATCAATTTCCGTAGCAATTCTGTAGGAAATCCGTAACTATTTATTTCCGTAGCTATTAAGTAGCTATGGTAGCAACGGAAAATTCCGTAGCTATTCCGTAGCGATTCCGTAGTTAATCCGCAGCTATAATTTAGCTACGGGCCACTATGCTACAGGCATTTTTCCGTAGCAATTCCGTAGCTATTTACTTATTGCTACGGAATAGCTACGGATTGTGTTGTAGCTATTGCAACAGTTTTCTAGTAGTGTAGTTAGGTATTGGAGCCTATTGACAGAGTGAGCTAATTATTCATTAAAGATTGTTGTGTTCTCATATTTGAGTTCTTTAGATCAAAGTTCCCAACAGTCACTTCAAAGCTCGCTTTTTTGTTGGTTGCGGTGTTGTTCTGCTTGCCCCAAGGGTCACAAAGCATTCCACTCTGTGCTGTCAATAGAAACTTCTGAATGTTGAATGGTTCATCTTGCTGTCACATTTTTTTCCTAGTTAGTAGTGGCAATCTTTGCTGCTCTACTTCATTTGTTTGGATCAAGTGCTGGTGCGTTTCAATGTTCTCTCTTCAATGCATGCATTGTTTTTTCACTGAGCATCTGGGTATTGGTGCTGTTGAGTTAATTTTAAGTAGTAGCTGTTCATGAAGTCTGATCTTATATTCCCGTCTCAAGGCAGCTTCTTTTTTTAGATTTTGGTTCTGCGGTGGCTTTTCTCTCGGTTTGGTATCTTCTTTATAAATGGTGTACCTTGCTAGAGGGTTGTATTTAATACTATTAGCTATTTAAAAAATATCATTCCACAATTAAACTACACAGATACAGCAAGAAATAATTTCATTCCAGATTTGACGATTTGGAATACCAAGAAAACTCATATTTACAACATTTTATTCAAAGAAGTGAATATTTAATGTTGAGGACATTATCTTTTTTGGAGGGACGATTGTTGACACTCAAATATGTCTGTGATCGTTTTCATGTATTTAATCATCTCGCATCTGAAGAATATATATCATAAAAGTAGCAAATATGAGTTTCCTCATGAAATTGTGGTGGTATTTTAAAGTTAAAGATACCTCATTATGGTGTTGCAGACAGACAGTGGTGGATTTACAGGACCATATATGCATGGTGCTTATTCAAAGGCATGGATATTTTCCTTGATATCTATCAAACACACCTAGACAAATTTGTTTATAAATACACACATATGAATGTTGAATTATCAAGCCAAACATATCTTCACCAACTCTCTCTGCTTTTAAACCTATGCTTGCTACTGTTGCTTCTGCCTATATCAATTCAAGCCGAATCTGAAGGCAACCGACAGGTACATGTTTTTATTCCAACTTTTTTAAGACATATTAGATACCGACAATAATCAATGCAATTTGTATGACTAAAAGGAATCCCCCGGATATATAGAGGCCGTCTTATCATAATTAAATGTGAAATCCATTAATTGTAAGGATTATTAACATAGTTAAATGTGAAATGAGAAACATTAATTAATGACAAATCTTATCATAGTTAAATGTGAAATCAATTAATTGTAAGGATTATTAACATAGTTAAATATGAAATGCATTAATAATCTCCATAATAAATTTATTTTATATTGAATTATGGTAATATTTTCAAAATTAATATTTCTTATATGAGCCCTTACGCACATATTAGAAAATCTCTAAATAAAAATGCTTTCGATTCAATTGATAGAGTTGAAGTAATCCTTATTTATTTTGAATGGAAAGAAATTGTAGAACTAAAAGAAAAGCTAGCGAGAAACTAGCTATGGATACATGGTGTATATAGGCCAGTCGAAGTAACTGGTATCATGCAGGTATACGTGGTGTATATGGGACACAATACTCTAGACGATGCATCTGCCTCCTCCCTTCACTTGAGCATGCTGCAACAAGTTATTGGCTGGTCACTACCTCATCTTAGTCTCTATATTTAATGTACAACATGATATTTCTTACGTTAGAGCTCCAAATGTTCCCTACATTTGAACAGACACTAGCACAAGAACTATCGACATTCATATAAGAGGTTAAATGGAAACCATAAAGTGATTTCGTTAATATTAAATTTGGAAGCTTTAATATTTTTGACATTTGACAAGCATGCAGGGATTCAGCGAACCATATGCTTCAAAGATACACTAAAAGCTTCCATGGATTTGCAGCAAGACTTACCGAAGAGGAGGCTGCGAAACTTTCAGGTGGGCATATATATGTGTCATTAAACATGCAGGAGATCATATGAATTCATTTTAAGCTTGGAAATTTCATATATTCATATAGGGATGGAGGGGGTTGTTTCAGTGTTCCCAAGCAGAATGAACAAAATGGCAACAACAAGTTCATGGGACTTCTTAGGTTTCCCAATTACAGCCAAAAGATCAACAAAGGAAAGTGATATCATTATCGGGGTTTTTGACTCAGGCATTTGGCCGGAATCACCTAGTTTGAATGATAAAGGATATGGTCCTCCACCTGCTAAATGGAAGGGGATTTGCGAAGCCAATTTCACTTGCAACAAGTAACCAGTTAATTTTCTTTATATGTATATATGCTTAAATCTTGCACCAATTTTGTTTTTAGGTCATCTACTATCAGCAGTGTTGTTGTGAGTGTAAACCTATTTGGGTGTGAACCTGCCATGAGTAGCTGCACCACCCTCTTTTGTTGACAAATGAATGCCTCCTTTGTTGACAATAACAACTAGAATTGGCAGCTTCTTTATTTCACACGGTGAACACAATAAATTGTCACAGTACTTATAGTGGCTAGCTTTAGTATAAATAGAAGTTGTAATATCAGTTGTAAGACACCACAAAACAGAGAGTGTAGTGTGTAATACTTAGAGTGAGTATTAGAGGGTTGTTTCTTTTTCTTGTAATATTGAGCGTGTAAGATCTTCTCTTTTGTTCTAGTTCTGAATAAAAGTGTGTTTCAACCCCAACAAGTGGTATCAGAGCTTGGTTAAGCTCCGGGGAAAGCATTCTCTGTTTTTTGGTCGAAAATTTTTTGTCTCAAAAACAATTTCGGAGTACACCGTTGGAAAGGTCTCGTTCTGAGGATTCCGAAAATATATTTTTTTTAAATTTTTTGACCACCGGAAGGCCTCCAAATCACCGGTCAAAGTTGGTCAAATCTGCCGGAAAAGTCGCCGGAAAAACCAGGGTTCGCCGGAGAAGACGACACTGTAGCAAGCACTGTAGCAGTGACATCAGCAGTGACGTCAGCAGCTGACCAAAGTTCTGGAAATTGCAGTTTAGCCCCTGTTTTTCCGGAAAGTGCAATTTAGCCCCTGTTTTTCAGAAAAATTACAATTTTGGTCCCGTTTTTCAGAAAAATTTCAATTTAGCCCCTGTTTTACTTCTGTAAAAGTTCTGTTTGCCCCCTGAACTTCTGAAAAGTTCATATTGGTCCCCGTACTTCAAAAAAAAAATATATTCTTACTCGTGTATGCCCAAGTATATGCCAAGAATGACTACACCAACCTCGTCATCTTCTCAAGCCGGAGTTGAAAGTTTTCAAAGGACCGGGAAAGACGGTAGCGTTACGTTACACTATCCAATGCTCATGAAGATGAACTACGCGGTGTGGGCCATAAAAATGCGAGTGAATTTACAAGCACAAGGAGTATGGGATGTAATTAAAAATGCAGAAACGGACGAACGTAAAGATCGGATGGCTCTTGCGGCTATTTATCAAGCAATTCCAGAGGACGTACTTCTGATGTTAGCTGAGAAGGACACAGCTAAAGAAGCATGGGAAACGCTCAAGATGATGCACATGGGAGCCGATCGGGTCAAGGAGACTAAAGCTCAAACCTTGAGAAGTGACTTCGAGGTGATCCGGATGAAAGACAGTGAATCGGTAGATGATTTTTCCATGAGATTGAATACTATCGTAACCGGTATTCGATCTCTAGGTGAAAAGATTGAAGAAATTACGGTTGCGAAGAAGTTTTTGCGAGCCGTACCGATACGATTTATACAAATCGTAACATCGATCGAGCAATTCAGAGATTTGAAGAATATGACGGTGGAAGAAGTTGTGGGTCGTCTTAAGACCCATGAAGAGAGACTTCGAAGCTATGGAGAAAAAGAAGAAGGACCTTCTCTATTGCTTACACATGCCGAGTGGGCATCTCGTTCGAAGCAAACTGGCGAGAGAAACTCGTCAAACACTTCAAGAGGACGAGGAGGACATGGTAACCGAGGCCGGGGACGAGGCCGAGGATGTGGACGTGGCCAAGGAGGTGGTCGCGAGTACAATACAAATCGGAATGACCATAATCCTTCTCGAAAGGATAAAAGTAAAGTCAAATGCTTTACTTGTGAACAATTTGGTCATTATGCTTCGGAGTGTCCAAACAAGAATCGAGGTGAGGAGGCAAACCTCACTCAAGCCAAAGAAGAAGAGCCTATTTTAATGATGGCAACCTCACAAGAATATGCACACAAAAAAGTGTCTCTAAGAGAGAAGATTTGTGTTAATCTTCTTGCATCGGGAGAAAGTCGAGTCGAGTCTGAGGTATGGTATCTCGACAACGGTGCTAGCAATCACATGACTGGAGACCGCTCAAAGTTTCGCGAACTAGATGAGCACGTTATGGGCCATGTGAAATTTGGGGATGGTTCGACCGTCGCTATTTTGGGAAAAGGGTCGATTTTATTCGATAGCAAAAATGGCGACCAAAGACTCCTTAATGAGGTATATTTCATTCCAAGTCTAAAAAACAATATTATTAGTTTTGGACAAATGACGGAGGAAGGGAGTCGGGTCATAATGGATGGGTCGGATCTGACATTGTTTGACAGAAACAAAACTCTACTTTTGAGAGTTAAACGATCCCTAAACCGGTTATATAAAACTCCTTTAAGGACCGGTAGACCGACTTGTCTTTTAGCAACAAAAGACGAACCAGCTTGGATATGGCATTCTAGACTTGGTCATGTTAACTTTCTCGCCTTAAAGAAGTTGTCCGAAAAGAATATGGCAATCGGAGTCCCAAAGATTGAGCACCCAAACCAAGTATGTGAAGGGTGCGTTCTTTCCAAACAAACCCGAATTCCTTTCCCGGATCATGCAATTTTTCGGGCTCAAAAACCTCTACAACTTGTTCATGCGGACTTATGTGGTCCGATCACACCTACGTCTGTTGGAGGGAGTAAATATTTTCTCCTTTTAGTAGACGATTTTAGCCGGTGGATGTGGGTTTACATGCTATCGGAGAAGTCTCAAGCCTTGAGCGCTTTCAAACGGTTCAAGTTGATAGTTGAAAAGAATTCGGGTTATAAAATAAAGACACTTCGAACGGACCAAGGGGGAGAGTTCACTTCAAAAGAATTCTCATTATTTTGTGAAGAAAATGGTATTCAAAGGCATCTTACGACACCATATTCACCTCAACAGAACGGAGTTGTAGAAAGGCGAAATCGGACCGTTATGGACATGGCAAGAAGTCTGCTCAAAGGTAGAAATGTTCCGGGAGAGTTTTGGGGAGAAGCGGTTAGACATGCAGTTTATCTTCTCAACCGCCTGCCAACAAAAGTACTTCCCGACAAGACGCCTTATGAAACTTGGTTTGGCAAAAAGCCCAACCTTGAACATCTAAAAGTTTTTGGTTGTGTTGCTTTTGCTAAACTTGTAGGTGGTCACTTGAAGAAGCTTGATGATCGAAGTAAGAAGATGGTGTATTTAGGTGTGGAAGATGGAACTAAAGGCAACCGTTTGTTTGATCCGCAAGACCGAAAGTTGCGAGTTAGTCGCGATGTTGTTTTTGACGAAAAAGAAGAATGGAATTGGTACGAAAACAAAGAAGAAGAGATGGCGACTCCTAAGACCTTTAACATAATTGAACCACAACCCTAAATACACCTCGAAACACCTCAAAATGACCCCCAAATCAATCTGGAACAACCAAACAGTCCAGGAATCGATGCTATCCAAGTTGGACAACCATATGCTGAATTTGACGAGCCTGAATCAGCCCCACAAACTCCTGTCTCAGCCCCGTTTTCTTCAACATCACCCCATATGGAAAGCCCTTCTAGTGAGATTGGGCCAAGGGGATTGCGTCCGTTAACCGATATTTATTCTGAAACCGAAAATGTGTTCCTTGAACCCAGAAAATTGTTGATGATTGCAGCGGATCAACCATTGAATTTTAAAGAGGCGGTAACCTCTAAGGCATGGCAGGAGGCTATGCAAACAGAGTTGGATGCAATCGAGAAGAACAAGACATGGCAACTTACCGATTTGCCACCCGAACACAAAGCAATCGGTTTGAAATGGGTGTTTAAAGTGAAGAAAGACAACTTGGGAAAAGTGGTGAAGCATAAACCTCGACTTGTAGCAAAAGGATTTGTACAAAAGGAAGGAGTCGACTTTGATGAAGTTTTTGCACCGGTAGCACGACTTGACACCGTAAGGCTCATTCTTGCCTTAGCAGCTCAACATGGGTGGGTTGTCCACCATCTCGATGTCAAATCGGCTTTTCTCAATGGAGATCTCAAAGAGGAGGTTTATGTCACCCAACCAGAAGGATATGTTGATAAAGCAAACAGTCACAAGGTGTTCAAGCTTCATAAAGCTCTTTATGGTCTACGACAAGCTCCTCGAGCTTGGAACATTCGTTTGGATAAAAGCTTAAAAAGGCTTGGTTTTACAAAAAGTTCACAAGACCCAGCTGTTTACAAAAGGAACTCAAAAGACAAAATTCTAATTGTTGGTGTCTATGTTGATGACTTGATCATTACCGGGTCGAACACTAATGATGTTGTCGAATTCAAAGAACAAATGAAGAAAGAATTCGAAATGAGTGACTTGGGATTACTTTCTTACTACCTTGGAATCGAAGTTTCGCAAAAGAAGTGGGGAATATCTTTGCGACAAACGGCTTATGCAAAGAAGATTTTAGAGCAATTTGGGTTGCTGGATTGCAATCCGACAACGTCACCAATGGAACCTAAGTTGAAGGTTAAGAAGGATGAAGATGGTGAAAAAGTTGATCCAACTGAATATAGGCGAGTGGTAGGTTGTTTAAGGTACTTGACTCACACTCGACCAGACCTGTCATTTTCGGTTGGAATTGCAAGTCGTTTCATGGAGGAACCAACCACTTTGCATTTCCAAGTTGTGAAACACATCTTGCGATACGTAAAAGGAACTGTTGATTATGGAATCAACTATGGAAGAGGTCGTGAAATTGAAGATTTGGTTGGTTTTACCGATAGTGATCTTGGAGGTGACCCTGTTGATAGCAAGAGCACAAGTGGAATGATTTTCTATCTGGGAAGGAATGCGATAACTTGGCAATCCCAAAAGCAAAAGACTGTTGCTTTGTCCACGTGTGAAGCCGAGTTCATGGCAGCTACAACAGCAGCATGTCAAGCCATTTGGCTTGCTAATCTCGTGAAGGAGCTCACGGGACATCATATTATGCCTATCACCTTATATGTCGATAACAAGTCAGCAATCGCATTGATGAAAAATCCTGTGTTTCATGGTCGAAGCAAACACATTGACATTCGTTATCACTTCATACGAGAATGTGTTGAACGTGGGCAAATTATAGTGGAATATGTCAACTCGAAGGATCAACGGGCGGACATCTTTACAAAGGCTTTAGCATACGTGAAACATGGTGAAATGCGAAACATGATCGGAGTGACGAATCTCGAGCCAAGTTAGGTTTAAGGGGGAGAATGTGAGTGTAAACCTACTTGGGTGTGAACCTGCCATGAGTAGCTGCACCACCCTCTTTTGTTGACAAATGAATGCCTCCTTTGTTGACAATAACAACTAGAATTGGCAGCTTCTTTATTTCACAGAACACAATAAATTGTCACAGTACTTATAGTAGCTAGCTTTAGTATAAATAGAAGTTGTAATATCAGTTGTAAGACACCACAAAACAGAGAGTGTAGTGTGTAATACTTAGAGTGAGTATTAGAGGGTTGTTTCTTTTTCTTGTAATATTGAGCGTGTAAGCTCTTCTCTTTTGTTCTAGTTCTGAATAAAAGTGTGTTTCAACCCCAACAGTTGTTCCATGGATTCTTTCGGTTGCTGCCAGCACACCAAAAACCCGGATTTAATAACCCCGGTAAAACTAGGAAATGGTATAGTTGTTAATGTAAGTACTATATATCTATCTTTAACACTACTAGTTTAAATATAAAATCATGATTAACTTGTTCATTCTTATCGCAGGGAGTTTCAGTAAACCCATTTACGCTTCATGGAATGTATCCTTTGATCTATGCTGGAGATGTTCCGAATGTCATGGCTGGTTTCAATGGCTCAGTGTCAAGGTAAAATACGATTTGCTTCAATACATTTACATTTGCTTATGTACGTTAATAATGTTTCCATGATGATTAACAGGCTTTGCTCTCCAAACTCATTGGACAAGAATTTAGTGAAGGGAAAAATAATATTATGTGATGCTATATCAAGCGGAGAACCTGAAATGATGGCTGGTGCCGTTGGGTCTATTATGAAATATCCTGGACCGTATTTTGACGCTGTGGCTTCTTATACTTTGCCTGTTAGTGTTGTCAACTCTGATCAAGCAATAAGAAATGCCCGCTATATACAATCAACAAGGTTAATATATAAAGACCACTTACTAACATGTATCTATTCCAATCACCAGAGATTATTTTCATATAACCAGCGAACTTCAAAATTCATTTCAGAAATGCAACAGCAGTAATAATGAAGAGCAAAGACGTCAAGAATGCTTCTGCCCCATTTGTTGCATCTTTCTCATCAAGAGGTCCAAATCCAATAACTAAAAGCATTTTAAAGGTAATTCATGTTTGTTTTGGGGATTATAAACTAGTGACCAGTAGTGACTGAAAGAAGATATTATTACTTGTTTCTCAGAGTAATCTCTATCCTTAAAAGAATTTCACCCCGTCATTCCTATAAATGTTGTGTTATCGGATATAGGGAAAATTATGTCCCAAGAGAAAATGAAACAACCTATGTGCTGAGTAAATGAAACAACCTATGCAGCACCAATTATCAATATGGCACAGCACTGTTAATCCAGGTAAACATGCTATTGTGTTTAAAAAACAATACCATGTTTTCCTTATCTGATAAAAAGAAATGTGTTCCTTTTAGTATGGAAAAACTCAATAAGAATCCAACTAAAAAAAGAAATCTAAACAGTTTTAATTTGTAAATGATTTGACAACTCAAATAGTCACCAAAAGTTGTTTGCGAACCTCAAAGAGTCACTAAAGTTAAAGGTGACCATTTGAAAAGTTACCTAAGACAGCTGAGCTGACAGCAACGTGTGGAAGAAATAGTCACATGAGTGTTGGGACCATTTGAACAATCGCCAAAGGATTTGTGACATCTGTCCTAAATGCTCTAAAAAAAGTTATATTGACATTTGGAATAATCACCAAAGAATCCTGCGAGCCTTTGAATAGTCACAATCCTCTTTCACAAAAAATACAATATCTCTCATATGATTATGAATTTATGATCATGTCTGTGCATATCATGATCCACCAAGACAAACTTTGGAATTTCCTGATACCCAAGTTGACTGGGTTTGTATTGAACATTTCCCAATAATTAATGTTACAGTGTGAAAACATACATGATTTGGAATCATGTGCTGCAGTCCTACAGATAATGAATTTCAACAGATAACACTCATAATAATTGAAATTTTTGATTGGTTCAGCCAGACCTAGCCGCTCCAGGCGTAAGAATTCTAGCAGCATGGTCGCCAGCGGCTCCAATTACACATGTACAAGGAGACCACAGAGCCGTAAATTTCAATATGATATCAGGAACATCAATGGCATGCCCCCATGTCAGTGGAATAGCTGCATATGTCAAATCATATAATCCGACATGGTCTCCTGCAGCCATTAAGTCGGCTCTCATGACAACAGGTAACATATCTAGCATTAAATATATCACACTCTACCTACGCTTCTGCAAAACATTTGTATGCCCAGTTGACATATCTTCCATTAAAATTAATTGCAGCTTCTGCTATGAGTGCCCAGATCAACACAGATGCTGAATTTGCATATGGAGCTGGCAACCTTAATCAAATGAAAGCCATCAAACCCGGGCTCATATACGATGCTGTTGAAGTAGATTACGTCAGTTTTTTGTGCCAAGAAGGCTACAGCAGCAAAGATATAAGAATCATGACGGGGGTTAAAACTAGTAGCTGCTCTCAGCTCATGGAACAAGCAAAGGATCTAAACTACCCTACCTTTGTCATACCGACACTGCGCAACAAAGTCGTTGATTTAAGTTTCAATAGGACTGTCACCAATGTCGGCTCTGCGACATCGACATATAGAGCTTCCATAACTCAACCGCTTGTTAGTGGTTTGATCATACAGGTTGAGCCAGATGTCCTGCACTTCAATCACATAGGGCAAAAAGTCTCCTTTACGGTGTTTGTGCAGGCAACCATACAGAATTTAGACAACCCAATTATTTCTAGCGCTTTGATATGGGATGATGGAGTGCATCAAGTGAGGAGCCCCATCGTTGTGCATGTTCCATGATAATCTTCAAAATAGTGCAAATGTTATTGTACTAGACTTGTGGTCGTAATTGTATGTTATTCTAAATTTCAAATTTGTACTATTTTCGTGACATGACATCAATCACATCATGAAATAGTGCAAACAAATGTATGTCGTTCAAAACTCTGCCTTAAATAAAGATGAAAGACATTTTGTTATTGAGAACTGTAATACCTATTTTTCATAACATATATGATTATGAGGGATGTAACTTTTTATTGAAAATTGTATTACTTGTTTTTCGTAACATAAAGATGAAAGACTTTTTCTATTGAAAATTGTATTATATGTTTTTCATAACATATATTATTATTGACAAGACAAGTGAGAAGTTATGTGAAGCTTTGCCAATGAGAACAGTGTTGGTAAATTGTCGAAAATACTCTAAGTATTTGGGAGACTAATCTACTTTGAGGACGTGACACATAGGTAAAGAGGTACACAACACATAGGATAGTAAGTTGTTATAGTTAAAATGGTGACGAGGAGCACGTTGTGTCCAAGGGCTGAACGCGACAGGTCAACGCCTACTATGCAAAATTTACCATGGTTAGATAAATATTGTGAAAATAAATCACAGTAAAAAATGGTTTTAAAAAAATCTTTCATAAATTTATCAGAGTTTACAAGTATTTGGTGTTACAAACTAATATCAACAACCATAGTAAAAGTGGAAGCATTATACAACCATAAGACCTCATAAGTCCACTATAAGCCTTCTTTAGCACCACATCTCTAAGTTGTACTTTCCATGGCTGAATACATTGCACATTTAACACTTTAAACGATCCAAACTTTCTGACAGTTAACAAGTTTAATGTTTCGTTAGATTCCTTTCTTTGTACGCACTAATCTTGTAATATAGTTGATATTTTGAGGTTGTAGAGTGTAAAAGATGAACCTTGAACCTTTATTGTAACGTCCTAAAAATTCATAGTAAAATTTCCATTTTTTAAATAGTAAATCATTCAAAAGAGTTGATCCAAAACCGATTACAATGAGTATATTATTTAAACATCAGATTAAAGATCATAATTTGCCAATGCAGAAAACTCTGGGGGATGGTGTGCAGTCACGCCGGACCCTTCCCTTTTGAACCGTAAGTAGCTAAAACCATAAATATGAAATCGTAAGCACAATGCTTAATGAGTTTCCCCAAAATGTCACATACCATACATTCTATAGAGATTGCTATGTGCCAACCATAGTCTTGCCATTATGTCATGAGTCATATCATTGTCTTTCCTTGCCACGCCGAGGGGAAAAACCCTAGGTCTTACAGACAAGTGTCAAGAGCCACCTCCTGGTCTTCCATACAAGTTTCACAGAGACAATGAGCATACTTCATATATCTGTCAAGGTTTGGTCCCTGGTCTTACATATAATTTTTTTGGGATCCACCTCCGGTTCTTTCATACAAGTGTCAAGGGCCACCCCCTGGTCTTCTTGTACCACATAAGCCAATGGGCCGACATTGGTGCCTTCAACCCCCGAGTATAGTGAGGAGACTCACCTGAATCACAAAGGCGACTAACACTCAGCTTAAAACCGCCGACCACAGCTAACTGCTCTCCTGCCGAATGATGGGTTCTTAACACCTCCTATCAATCCACATAAGGTAAACTCTAACTCTACATTCTAAAAATAGAATTTGACCTAAATTCAATCCAAGCCAAAAGTCAACAATCAAAGTCAAAGTCAACAACCCATAATGTGAACTATCCATCCTCACGTCGTGACCAGCCCTTGGTCACGCTGTGAGAGCTCACTCCATCTGATTCCAACTCATCCCGACTCAACCTAGCCAACTCCGCCAAGGAAAATCACCTGAGCTGACCTCACGATGTGAACAACCTTATCTCACGCCGTGAGCGCTAAGAAACGCATCAGAACGAGATCAACCACTCCTCACATTGTGAGACCCCATGTCTCACGTCGTGAGAACAGTCTGAAGCCAAAAGTCCAACTTTTATGTCCTTAATCCATTAATCCTTGAACTCTAATTTTGCATAAGGTCTTCTAAATCCATAATACACTAGAAAGTCGATGCTTTTAAGACATATATGTCCAATACATGTCTAGATGTCATTTGGGTCAAAAGTTGAAAAAAAAGACATCCAACTTTCATGCAAGGTTCCAAAACTCAACTATTCACTAGGTCTGAACTCCATAACACTCTTAAGACCCTTATAAGCCATAAAGTTGCCAATTTATGGTTTCCATTCATTCAAACTTGCTCAACCACGAAGGAAAGTGGGACAAAACTTAGTTCTAGCCTCAAATAACAATAAAGGAGGACGCTTTGACACTTACAAGGGTCCAGGAACAATGTAAGGTGATGATGATGATTCGTTGCAACCCTCTATAAAAGATCACCTTATTGTTTTCTTTTCTTATTCTTCAAACCATGAAAGGCTCCAAAATTACCAAAGATCAAGCAAGGGATGAAGACTAGGGTTTTGTGAGGTGAAATAGGGTTTGAAGGCTGATGACGAACTGTAAAATGGGTTTAGAGGTGCTTAAATACGAAGGAAAACCTAAAAGATCATGCGCTCGGGCTGCATAATTTCTCACGTCGTGAGCCTCAACATCTCATGTCATGAGACCAGCCCCGAACAAAGTTTTTCATCTTGGCCCATCTCACGTCGTGAGCCTCTATGCCTCGCGTCGTGAGGCTCCATTTCTTCCAAAAACAACCTTTTGAATCCTTAAAACCCTAATTCGATTCATCCTGGAAAACGGGTGTTACATTTATAAAGGTTCAGTGGGTCATTTTTGCATAGTTTCGGGACCAAAGATGAAAGTTATGATGTTTTTAAGAAAAACAAAACTTAAGTAATGGATTTATGCACCGTAATCACCCTCCAACATCTGATAAAATCTCGCTAAGTTATGTTGAAACTTATCACATGAAAAAACCCATGACAAGTAATGCAACAACAAAAAATGGTGGCTATATGTTATCTTTTTTATCGAATTTTTTATTTGATATGTACATTTACCTTGTGTTGGGTACTAAGTGAGATCTAAAGATATATAAGGTGTTAAAGTTTCATTTTAAGTGATTAAATCTTATATGAGGGAGTTTGGGATTTCATTTTGAAACTTAAAACTTCTTGACTTATGATTGTTAGAAACTGAGATTTTAAAAATGTTTGTATACTGTCAAACGAGCAGCTTCTAGCTAGTTTTGGTGTTTGTTAATGCTATTATATATATATATATATATATATATATATATATATATATATAATAGAACTAATACTGTATTTATTTGACATACATTTTTTCTAGATCAATCATGAAAAACTGTAATTGAAGAAGGAAAAATTGTTCTTGAACTGGCCACAAATGTCCTCTTATTGGTCTTTGGAAAAGATCGCGGTGGATTCGTAATAGGGAATGGCATGGGAGTCACTCCAACCAGATATTGTCATCTACCTCGAGCCAAATCTTCATCAAAAGAAAATTGTGCTTTACTTGAGGAAAGCCTAGAGAGAAAAAATAGACAAAATTAGGAAATAAAGTCGAAAGTTGATTTTCTGATATGTAGGATTTCTTTTAAGGGCAATCATGTGGTTTCTCAAATAACTACCAATCCAGCGCCAAAAAAGTTTCCTACAAAAAAAAAGTAATTGCGTGAATTTTTTATCATAGTTTTTTTAAGTGAACTGCTAATGCAGTCATCACAATTTGTCATCCCAGAAAAGGGAAAATTTTTAGAGGGTACATCAGCATCTCAAACACCCCCAAAGAGCTCGAAAACCACATAAGTTAACATAATAAAATGTTTTGTACACTTCTTTTTATAATATTTTTGACTATTTTCGTGGACTAAACATGGTACACTATTTTCAGGAAAGTTTTAATACTGGTGAAGAAAATGTTGCATCTAGGTGTGAGGAGCCACACGTTAAAAAATAAACAGAGAATGTGGCAGCATCACCTCAACCCAAGACACTGCAACAATTGAACAAAGTATGTATATTCGACATGTTTAAAAAGATATACATGTTAGAAAAAAAATATAGTTATCAATGGAAAAGGTTGGTGCTGGAAACCCTAGCCTACCCCATCAAACCCAACCTCCAAGGTTACTCGATAATGGGGCATATTTTGACTCACTCGGCGACTGGGAATCATGGGGGTGCCATGGAAACATCCATAACATAGGGGATGCAAAAAGGAAGTGTGTCGATGAAAGAAAAAAAAGAGTTGAATTTGACGAAAGAAAGTATCTTTTTTGAGCTTGATTATTGGTCTTCCCTCAACATAAAACACAATCTAGATGTTATGCATGAGAAAATAATGTTTGTGAGAGTTTATTGAATACTTTTCTGATGATTATTGGTCTTCCCTCAACATGAAACACAATGTAGACGCTATGCCTGAGTACATGTTTATATATATATCTATATCTATATATATATATATATATATATATATATATATATCTATATATATATATATATATATATATATATATGGGAAAACTACAATAAAGTCCCTACATATTGACCTCATTATCGATTTAATCCCTATTTTTTTTATTCAATTAAGTCCCAAATACCGGTAATCGTATTCAATTTAACCCTTTTACCCAGTCAACAGATCATCCAACTTTCAAAAATTACATTTTTGGCCCAGATTTCAAAATTTATTACAAATTTGGTCCAAAATTTACACTTTTGGCCCAAATTTTAAATTTTGTTACAAATTTGGTCCAAACTTTACCCTTTTTGCCCAAATTTTAGAATTTTATTACGAACTCATATTAACTTTAGTTTTTTTTTAAAACTTTTTTTCTCAAAAAAATGTTTCTAATATGTTTTTTCTTTATAAAATCGTATTTATACAAAAAAAAACGAATTTTCACATAAAAATCTTATATTTTCTATATAAAAAAAAATTTTAAAAGTTTTTTGTATATGAAATATCTAGTTATAAAAATATGTATTTATTAAGTATATAAATATATACAAATCCGTTTTTATAAAAAAAAATGTATACAAAAACGTATTTTACAAAAAAAAGTATACAAACAACTATCGCCTTTATATATATGCACACAAATGGGTGTGTATCTATATTTTTTTTATAAAATCGTGATTGTTTACATTTTTTTATAT